ACCCCATCAGTGCCGACCCAACTACACCACCACGCGCATGCCTCGCGGCGGATATGCGCAGCAGCAAGAAGGTTTCGGTCATCCCTTGAGGGTGAATCTAGCCCTGCTCGCCAGAAAGACCCCCCCCTTCACTACAACCCATGTCTAAGCAAAAGCTTGTCGAGGAGCGAGGGGAGGGGGAGAAGGGAGACCCGTTCTTTATCGGGACAGAATGTTGGTTGAAGTCTTGCGGGCCAAGATTCGCCTGCTTCACGTTTCTATGGGCACAAGTATCTTGCGTCAGAATTCGGCAAGATTTGTCGGGGGGGCCTTCCAATGACCAAAGTTGCCCTTTCGAACAAATATTTTTCTTGACCTGTCTTGACCCTAGATTTATTATTTCGAGCTTTGTTGACAAATCTTGGAGCGGGCTGACCAATGTTGGTGGGTGGGTCGAGTGTTCGTGGCCCTACTGCCTTCAGCGGTTGTTGTCGAGACTGGGTGCTTCGTTAGGGCCGTTTTATACATTCCACATTTTTGTTCAAAAGTACAAACTTTCCGAAATTCCGGAACTTGTACAGAGGCGTTTGTCCAAATATATTAATAAAATTCGGAACGAACCTGGGCGCCAAAATTTGTACTCAGTAGCTTCCAAATTTTCCAAACCTATATTGGAGCATCACAACAAACCCAGCAGCTAAAGGACCTACAGGGCCAACTACAAGGGAGAAGCAGCAGCGGAGGGTACTTGGATAGCGGCAGGGCCATGGCGGACCGCAGGAAACGCGGCGCGCCTCAAGGTTCGTCGTGTGCTGGTCCACCGAGCCAACGATTCAGGCGTGCATCCGGTCGCCAAGAGCTGGTGCNACCTATATTGGAGCATCACAACAAACCCAGCAGCTAAAGGACCTACAGGGCCAACTACAAGGGAGAAGCAGCAGCGGAGGGTACTTGGATAGCGGCAGGGCCATGGCGGACCGCAGGAAACGCGGCGCGCCTCTTGGTTCGTCGTATGCTGGCCCACCGAGCCAACGATTCAGGCGTGCATCCGGTCGCCAAGAGCTGGTGCGGCAGATGAAAGCAGCTGCTGCTGTGGTGGTTCTGGTGCTGAGCGCGGCGGCAGTGGTCACCTCTGTAGCTGTGCACGCTAGCGCTAACAAGACGCGTGCGGCTATCCACGAGCCACGGCGCCTGGTTTGGGAGGATCGCGCTGCTGACCTCAAGAAGCGGAAGCTCTTCCGGAGGATGCATCGCATGGAGGAACCGGTGTTCAACAAACTGGCTGGGTTGCTGGAACCGATCCTCCAACGGAACGACTACTACGCAAGTGAGAA